CACACGCACACGCACACGCACACGCACACGCACACGCGCACACGCACACACGCACACACACAAAATGCACACGCACACGCACACGCACACGCACACGCACACGCACACGCACATACGCACACACACTAACGCACACACTAACGCACACTCTCTTTATCTCTTTCTCTTACGCACTCTTTCTCGCTCTTTCTTACACGGGCCCTCCCCCTCTTCCCCTCTCTCTCGCTCTTTGTCAGGTTCTCCTTCTCATGCACTCGGTGCCCTTCCGTCCATCATTCACTCACTCTACTTACGTATTTTCCTCTCTCTCTCACTCTCTCTTTCTCTCTCTTTCTCTTTTTATCACACTCTCTTTCTTTCTCTCTATCCCACTCTCTTTATCAGACACGAGTGCGCGTTCTGTAACTTGGCCCACGCAAGTCTAAAGGACCACCACGATAGACTTAGAACGCTAACCATTAGCTGGCCTTTGTTTGACAATAGCCGTAAATAACGTGCGAGCAAGCGCGGCTATAGGCATCCCAACGCATCGAAAACTCGTTATCTCTCCTCATTGTACTCGAGTGTAATTATTATCCCCACGAATATTTTCCCTGATTACTGTATAGCACTGTTGGCGCGGGCTGGAGCTCAATTAGGTTTATTTAAGCGTGCTCGAATCATTAATTTAGAACTCGCGCTGGCTTCCGAACCGTTTAACTTTTTGCACTTTTGCACTTTTGCACCACCAGCAAAGAACTGGCGGCTTTTTGTAATATTTGTTTCTCGTAGGGAAAAGAATACAAATTCTCATTAGGCACTCCTAATTACATTACATTACATTAGGAGTGAATAATTATTATTAATATTATTATCTATTATTATTCACTCCTAATCACGCGTACTCGATATTCTTCGCAGCAGTTCGCGTATAGAGAGAAACATGTCTCGTCGGTTAAAAATTAATTAATTAATATTCCCCCCTAATGGAAAATACACACGCGCACCAACTCCGTAACACCCAGGCACACACACCATCACACATACGCACGCACGAGCACGCACGTACGCACCCATGTACTATACGTATATACCCGTACACATGCTCCCCCACGCACACACGCTCACACCCATGCCCACGCGTATATACCTAACTGCAGGAGAAAACGCGTCAGCCTCTTCTGCCACTTACAGATTTCGAACCAATTTCATCCTTCGGAAAGGTAGAATCGTTATATATATTTTCACGGATATATCAACGTGCGAGTATTCTAAGACGCATTTCTACAAGCGATTGCCGTTATGCAAGAAACGCCGCGGCTGAGTACTCAAACGGTTGGGTAAACATGGCGAGAAATCATTGCTCAAAAATCAATAGAATTCTCCGAGAAAGAGTAACACCATTAATAGCAGCGAATTCAAGGTTCGAGCAAAGACCTCTCAGGGTTGACGATCCGACCGAGAGATCCTCACGTATTAGAGTCAGAGATTTTCCTGAATAAAATCCAAATTGCGGCAGAGCGGCGGTTAGGAGGCAAACAGCGAGTTATCGCCCGCCATTACATGGGCGTCCGCTGGAGTCAGGTGCCATGATTGCCGTACGATCAACTCCAGCGTCGCGTATATAAGTGCGTAATATCCATAGAAATAATAATATAGTTAATAATAATCATAATAATATAGAAATACTAGTACTAGTTAGACTAGTGTCTCTCTATATATTTCTACGGTAATATCGGTGCTATACGCGCGCACGCGCCGCTGCGGGATATGAAAGACAAGGCGGACGATCTCTGCAGGTGGTCCTCTTTCCACGTTTTTTGTCCTTCTCTCTTCTCCTCCTCCTCAACCCTCTCTCTCTCTCTCTCTCTCTCTTTCTCCGTCGTTACCTTTTCACGCGCGCGCCCTGTCTGTCATTGCGCAAAATAGCAGCGGGCAACTTAACGGAATCGTTTTTCTATCGTGAAATATTCGTGAAATAACTATGATGCGTCGGTAAACCGAGCAGCAGCTGTGCGATGTTCGCGGCAGTGATATGCGAGCCGTATCATCAGAGTCATCGAGGCGGTGCGCGCGGGGTGGTGCGACGCCTCAATCCACTCGTTACTGACTCAATCTCCCGCCGTTTCTCTCCCTCACATCAGAAGTTGCGAGAAGCAGTAGTTAGACTAGTCACTCATCTCCCGCCGTTTTTCTTCCTGCAGCAACAGCAGCAGTAGCAGCAGCAGCAGCAGCAGCAGCAGCAGCAGCAGCAGCAGAAGTAGCTGCAGCAGTAGCAGCAGCAGCAGCAGTAGCAGCAGCAGAAGCAGTAGAGAGACTACACCCACTCATCTCCCGCCATTTCTCTCCCCACAGCAACAGCAGCAGTTGTGAGAAGCAGCAGTGAGACGCATCATGGACGTCCACTGCGCCATCTCGCGTCACTGCGTCAACGTCACCAACGTCACCGTCAACGCGAGCGACTACTACGACGACGACTACGACGACGCGACGCAGTCGGACGTCATGAAGACGATGTTGACGTCATTCTACGTGCTCGTCTGCGTCGTGGGGCTGTGCGGCAACACGCTCGTCATCTACGTCGTGCTGCGATTCGCAAAGATGAAGACGGTGACGAACGCCTACATCATGAACCTGGCGATTGCCGACGAGATGTTCCTGCTCGGCATTCCGTTCCTCGTCGCGACGATGTGGTTCGGACACTGGCCGTTCGGCGCCGTCATGTGCAAGATCTACATGACTGCCGCCTCGCTGTCGCAGTTCACGAGCAGCCTCTTTCTCGCCATCATGAGCTTCGATCGCTACTTCGTGCTCTGCCATCCGCTGCGCTCGATGAAGTACCGCACGATGCGCTACGCTAAGATCGTCTGTGTGTGCCTGTGGAGCGTCTCCGTCGTCGCCAACATGCCCGTCATCATCTTTGCCGGCACCGCTCAAAACCGCACGACGTGCACGATCATGTGGCCCGGCCAGTGGCTGCGCTGGAAGCCAAACGAGGCGTTCATCTGGTACTCGTTCCTGCTCGGTTTCGCGATCCCAGTGTTCCTCACGTCCGTCTTCTACGCCACGATCATCCGCTTGCTGCGCTGGGGACGCGAACTGCGCATGTCGCTCGAGCGCGAGCGCTCCGAGAAGAAGGTCACCAAGATGGTGCTTACCGTCGTCACCTGTTACGTCATCTGCTGGCTGCCATATTGGATTCTGCAGGTGAGCATCAGTGCGGACTGCGTGCGGCCTGAGGGAAAGGTCGTCTACGTCGTCGCCATGTTCTACTCGCTCGCCTACGGCAACAGTCTCGTCAACCCGCTGCTGTACGCCTACCAGAGCAACAGCTTTCGCTCGAGCTTCATCCGCGCGTGCGTCTGCGTCAACGGCGGCGGCGGCAAGGATCGCCACACGATGTCGCTGTCGAAGGGTAACAGTGCCGCCGCCGTGCGCGTCTGGAACTTCAACGCGGCGACGCCGACGACGACGCCCTCTACCGTTGTGTCGCCGAACCGCTCGCAGGTGGCGATGAGTCACTGGCGCAGTCACGCTTCGCCGCCCCTCTGTCGCTCCGTCGTCACGAAGCTCGATAACGAGGCACTGCAGCCGCTACGCGGCGTCGCTGTCGACGTCGATGATGGTAACGGAAGTCGGCTGCGACAACATCCGGGAGAGCAGTCGGACGCGATGCTGGCGCCGAGACCCGGAGGCGCGCCGGTCAATCAGATTTAAGCTAGCGCGTTCGGCGGTAAATTTCGTCCTCGGGTGCGCGCATGCGCAGCAGAAATGCTCATTTGAGCGCGGCCATGAAATTTTTTTGTCAAGGTAAATGAGACGATGCGAGTTGTGTGAGGTATATGTCTTCTTCGAGCTTCTAATTAATTCTGCGTGCGTGCCCCCCACACACGCTGTTATTATGCCATTGGCAATAGGATATCTTTTAATGGCAACGGTGGGAGAGGAAGGTAGGCGCTGTAGTGGGTGTTATTGCTATCGCCTGATGGTTGTTTAATAATTGTTCTCGTAGCGAGTGTATAGACTATGGCTAACGAAAGTATACTTGTCATCTGCGTCAATCATTGGGAACCTAACACTGATTCGTAACTGCTTGCATGCAGGTTCACGCGCGCGTCATGTATTCTTGATAAGAACCATTGACGTTGTCACAAAGCCACGGAGAAACGCTCGCGCCGGGAACTAAATATACTTGTAACACGCGCAGCTAAAGCCCCGATGATTAACCACGTGACGCAATGACGTCACGACATAACCCGTGACACGTGACAAACACATGTTCGTGCGCGTTCACGAAGAAGAGAAAACCGATCGCGAGAGAGTTTCGTTGTAGAAAATATCAGGAGTGGATAATAGATCTCTATTATCCACTCCTGAAAATATGTTGTAAAAAAATACGTCTCAATATCGTGGTTGTAACCGATGGTCATGTTGATTAAGTCTGTATATAGCGTAAATGTTTCCCCGAAAGGGGGCGCTCACCTGTAAATAACCGCGTTGAATTGGTCGACGGTGGCTCGTATAGATGGCGCTTCGTCGCCACCTTTCAGTCTTCTGGACCAGAGGTATCCGAGGCAGTGGTGCGCGATGACGCGGCGGAAGAGTTGCTGTTAGAAAAGCAAAAGAAACGCTGATGAAACCGCGGTAACGTCGTATAGTGTGAGCAGGAAAGATGTAATGACTCGGTCGCTAGTCGCGCAAAACTACGAGCAGCGCATGTTTGATTCATCTACTCAAACCAAGACATTCTTCTGCGGCTGTTTTGCCCGCTGCTGCTGCTGCTGCTGCTGCTGCTGCTGCTGCTTCTGGTGGTGGTGGTGGTGGTGGTGGTAGTGCTGCTACTGCTGCTGCTGCTATCATTGTTGGTGCTGCTGCTACTGGTGGTGGTGGTGGTGCTGCTGCTGCTGCTACTACTGTTGATGGTGGTGGCGGTGCTACTGTTGCAGCTGTCATTGCTGCTGCTGCTACTGCTCTACGACTGCTGCTAATGCTGCTGTCATTGCTGCTGCAACCGCTGCTATTTTTGCCATAGTTGTTGTTGCTACTGCTGTTGTTGCTGTTGCTACTGCTATTGTTGTTGCTATTGCTGCTGATGCTCCCCCTGCTGCTGCTGATTGTTGTTATTACTGTCATTGCTACTGATACTGCTGCTACTTCTATTGCTGCTGCTAATGCTGCTGTCGCTGCTGCTGCTACTGCTGCTGTTACTACTGCCACTACTGCGGCGGCAGCGGAAGCTGCGTTTTCGCAGGTGGCCAAAGGACGGTTCAATCTCAGTTTGCGGCAACAATTAAAGGGAAGTCTTTTTTTGAAAAAGAACTATTTGTATTAGCGCCGACAAATTCGTTACCGGCAAATTGTGTAAAAAGCATACGACGACACCATCCTCTTTCTGTCCCACTAATCTAGCCGACAGCGGTTACACTTACTAGTTTGGTATCGCGGAATTTCATTTCTAGTTCATTATTTCATTTCGACGCGTGGCTATTCTCCCTTCCCCTATTATTAATTCCACCCGCCCACCCAATTGCTGCATTGCTTGAATACGAGCAGTATAGTCGTCGGTCAACCGCGTGTCGGTGCTTCACTCGTCATCCGCTCGCTGGCGACGCATCAGCCGAAAGCATGCCGGTGATAATAGCTGCCGACTATTAGCGCGCTGCGCATCATTCACCGAGTCTCAAGCAGCTCCCACACGACTTATAGATTATTTACGGCGAGAGTGAAGCCCTGGGTCTGCGATAAAGGCCACTATAATGCGAGTCTTAATCAGAGACAAAGCGCTGCCGGCTGCTATGTAGAGTATTATCGCCATTATACACGCGCGCATGCAATATTGATGAGGTGCGTACGAGAGCGCTACTACGCCCTCGTTTCTGCCCGCCTGCCTACTTGCCTGCTTGCAGCGATATGGTTTTAGATCGCATCTTGTTAGATTAGACCCTATGCGTCGTTGTAACAGCGACGCGCTTTCGCGTCTTTAAAAGCCGTTAATGGACAAGGTTAAAGGACGTCGGTTGATAACAGCGGGACAAAGGTGACAAAGGACAGCGATGCGGGAGGTACGCGCACGCACGCGCGCACGCACGCACGCACACTTACCGCATCCGTGTATGTAAGCTGCTCGGCGAAGTGTTTACATGGAATCTCCATGAACGACGACCACTCTGTCGGCTGCGTCGTCGAACTGTCGTCGTCCACGACACGCGCGTCGATCGTTACGTCGCTAACTGAAACGTAAGAAAAACACTATGTCATGTGATGCAACATGGCCGTCGTCACGTGATGCAACATGGCCGTCGTCACGTGATGCAACATGGCCGTCGTCACGTGATGCAACATGGCCGTCGTCACGTGATGCACAATGACCGTCGTCACGAGACGCCTCATGGCGGAATACATGCGTGCTGTGTCATAGCGGACGTCACGTGATGTATGATGCCGGAATACGCACGTGGTGCATCGTGACTGACTCGTGGCGCAGCGCAGCATCGCGAGCGTAACTCTCTGTATATGAGATGAGTGACGCGAACTGCTTATATGTATCGTGCTGTTGTCTGAGATGTTATGTAATAAACGTTCCGTTGATACTCCATGTTATGATTTTTCTTTCGTATGTATTTACATGTATTTATTTATTTATTTATTTATTTATTTATTTATTCATTTATTAATATTACTGATGTATAACATGGCTGCCCGCAATTACAGAATCTCCTTCACTACATCCATTAGACTAGAGCCTTCCCCTATCTCCTCCGTCCCTCATTGCTCTCTCCCCTTCCTTCTGCATTCTCTACATCTCCCGCTCCTCGTCCCCTATCTCAATATCTCCGCTCCTTCCTCCATCTCTTCTCTCGCTCCACCTCTCCCCACCCATCTCTTCCCTCCGATTCACTCGAAACTAGCATTTCTGAAGTGCTCACACATACAACAAAGCAAAATATAAATATAGTAAAGTAGGATATCATGCACATGCAGGTGTAACGCGGCTCCGTACTTAACTATGGGCAGAGTTTGTCTCAATTTCCTCCTGCTTTTCAGCTCCCACACGTGGATATCCACACGCATCGACACACATACACACACACACACACACACACACACTAACACACACACACACACACCAGACACATAACACACAGCACACAGCACACACACACACACGCACAACACACACACCGCATTGGCGGGCGCACACGACACACACACACACACACAAATACACGCACAACGACAGCACACACACCACAAACACCACAGCACACACACACACGACACCACGACGAAGCCCACATGCACACCCACACACACTCAGCCGCGCATACATATGAAACAATGTCGTATCATATTGCGTCCATGGCGCTTAAAGTAGAAAGGTGTGTAGAACGGAGGACGGCGGGTAAACAGGAATAATTACATCTACGCCGGCCGTGGCAAAGCAACTATGCGGATAACTAACTCGTACGACGTCGGGAGAAGGTGACAAGGTCAGCAGTACCGCGTGCCTATTATGGTTAAAATATCGGGTTGATATATATATTGGGATAGATGGCTACATGCGCGGCGACCATGCCCACTGTGGTGCGCGTAGCGGTTGTTATGTAGCCATCTCATTCATGCCAATTTTCCGGTATTCGCAATTTCGCCAATTTAGTTAATGTTTAAATGATATGAATATCGTTGTTTCAGCTGTAATTCGCGTGTGACCGAAAACAGCGCCACCTTAGTACGTGTAACTAGATGCACAGCACACGCAGCGCATCGACACGCACGCACGCCCCATTCACGGCACACACCACGCCAAGACACACACACACACACTACACCACACTCGCACACAGCGGCACACACACACACACACCCACGCGGCCGCACGCAAACGTTACGCACGCACGCACAGCACGTCACGCACACACACACACACACACACGCGCGCGCACAGCACACGTCCGCACCCACACACACACATCACACACACACAACACACACACGACACACAGTCGACAGCACCACACATATATTATATATATATCGATATATGGAAAAAATGGAACGTGGGCAGGATCATGTATATAGGATAGACGAGTGTTCTGTAACAAATGGTTCCCCGTCCGTCACGACCTCACAAAAAGTCTAGGCTGTGAATTTGCGCGTGTGCATGACGTCAGCTTGTCGTCATCATACCATTATCACACGTACAATCAACGTATGACGTAACTCACCGTTATACGCATCACAGCCGCCATCTAACGGCAGCGTGATGATAACCACAGCGATCACATTATACACTATCAATCGGATCTTTATTATAGAATTATTAATAGAATCAAGCGTCAGATAATAACAGGCAACATTGTGTTACGATGTTTTTGAAATCTCTGTGACGACAACACCCGGCGGTAATAATAGTAATTTTATTTTACGATGAATGAAAGTCATTAACTAATTCGCAATAATTTCGACAACAGGCTTGGGTTGTCTTTTTTTAAATTGAACGCTAATCACACTCGATGTTAATTACAACAATTATGTTAATAACATAATAGCATTTTATCATAAAATAGTTACTCTCAGTACCCGGATCGATATCATGTAACAAGATTTACAAATAAAAAACCGGAATTCCAAGAAACACTCACCGTTATCCGCGCCGCAGTCGCCATCTAGCGGCTGGCGCGTGAACGTGTCCAGCTTGAGGCGGCACTTTTCTGTGATGTCTTCTCCCGGCAACTCGTGCTCGGCGAAGTAGCGGAGCGCGTGCAGGCAGGCGAAGTCCGGCCGAACGTTGAAGTCCTCGCTGTAGCCATCCAGCCAGGCACCGATAGCGCTGCGGACGGGACCTGCACACGACGAAAGACATGGAGTTAATATAGAGACTGCTAGGAGGGAGGGAGGAGGGAGGGGAGAGAGGGGAAGGGAGGGAGTTAGGGAGAGGGAGGGAGGGGGGAGGAAAGGAGGGGATGGAAAGAAGGGAGAAGAGAGAGGACGGGGGAGGGAGGGAGGAAGGGAGGAAGGGGGGAAGGGAGGAAGGGAGGAAGGGTGAAAGGGGGAAGGCTAGGAGGGATGGAGGGAGAGAGGAATGGAGGGAAGGAGGAAGGGAGGAGGGAGAGAGAAAGAGGGGGAGGGCAGGGGTGACCGAGTGGGCTTAAAAGGAAGGAGTGACGGAATAAGTGAACAAGTACAAGGAATAAAATAAAAGAGATGAATATCCTTAGATTTTGAAAGCTCCTATAACCAGATAATCCTGCTAACTAACAATACACTTTCAACAATACAGCGTGTATTGTTGAACACCTTCTAACAATACACTGTGTATTGTAGTAGGTACCTATGAGCTTTCAACAATACACTGTTTATTGTTGAACACCTTCTAACAATACACTGTGTATTGTAGTAGGTACCTAACAACTGTGTATTTAAATTCAATTTCATTTTCAATAAATTCATTAAAATCAATAAAATAATTTCAATAAATTCATTTCAATAAATGTCAATTTCAAGTTTACAAATCAAAAAGTAAACTAATTAAAAAAGAAAAGAAAAGAAAAAAAGTTTATTGTTAGAAGCTGTTCAACAATAAACAGTGTATTGTTGAAAGCTCATAGGTAACTACTACAATACAAAGTGTATTGTTAGAAGGTCTTCAACAATACATAGTGTATTGTTGAAAGCTCGCTAACAATACACAATGTATTGTCAAATGCCTAAACATACAACACACGGTGTATTGTTAGTTACCAGGATTATCTGCAGACCTATAACACATCTACTAGCTCATTCAAGACCATCGACGTCAATATTATTCTAATTATTTCACGTTTCACGCGAGCAACGCTAAACATTAACAATCGCTGCCTAGAGATGGCGCCAGCTGTCTGCGAAGAGTCTGAGTGAGCGCTCTCTGCTGCAGTGGAGCACGGACACATATCGACACATATCGACAGGATGGTGGCGATTAACTACCTAATATACTCGCTACGTATACTCTCAAATATGTACATTAGTGATGCCTAATCACTGGTTGCATTATTATATACAAAGAGGAAATTAGAATCTTTCAGCGAAATTATTCGCCGTACAGGGACATTTCGTATCGTCAGTAACGCATCCTGCTCGGGTCGTAGTTAGTTGCGAAACCTTGAATTTTTGTGAAACCTCGAATTTTTCCCTCGGTGTTTAATTTCGTGCGTATCTGGCACCACGTCATCACCATTATACGTCATCACCGCTATCGACGTTCCAAATAGTAGCTATGCGGGACACGGCACAGCAATACGTAGTAATTCCACTCCTCGACCTCATTCCGTAACTCCCCACCAAGACTGCGCCGCGTGGCACCTATAGTCAGTCAGTGACTATAAGCTACAATTACAGGCGGGCCGACCTCACTGCTGAGTGGCCCTATACAGACGCACGCACACACACGCACACGCACACGCACATGCACAAGCACACTAAGTTGTTCACCCTATGCTTGGTTTATCATTATTGCTTCTCTGACTGTACACTTGATGACTCAGTGCTTTGGTATTTATCATACGGGTACGACTTAAATAAACCGACACACACTGTATGTAATTTATTGTAATTATATGTGTACATGTAATTTATCTACTAATTGTTATTTAATCTGTTGTCCTTGTAGTTAGCTCAACGCTTGTCTTTCAGTGTGACCTGGTGCTTTGGCTAAATATCTGGCATGTACTTTAGTCTCCACGCACCGACGATGCTAGCGACGAGAGTATCACAAGCACACGCTAGTCGCTACGGCACTATCACGCACTTGAAACCATGAGTGTTTAATGTATCTACCCGTTGTCCATCAAATCAGCACTGACTGCACACGCACTACGCTTACCACGTCACACTGCACACTGCACATCGTCACACATTGTTTACGTTTGTGGGACCGTTGTGCATTTAGTTGTTCTATCATCGTCACTAGTTACTGCTTATTCATTCAGTCCCGCGCGAACTTGTGACATTTTTAACAACAATGCTTGGATATGCCCGGTATTAGGCCTAGGTTAACACTGACAGATGTAGGCAGCTGATTTTATGCGGGGCCGACGTTGGCATGTTTTTAGCTCGATCTAGACGATGGTCAGATTGGGCAGCTTGTATGAATCGCATGAATTGTCCGTGCGTTGCGCCGTTAGCGTCCATTCCGTCCGTCTAGTCACACACGCACAGCCCGTCAACAGTTGGGCACAAATTCATTTACACCGCTTTGACCGTACTGGTCACATATTCGGTGGGCCGTGGGGGGTAATCCGAAAACGAGTTGGGAGTCGAAGCTGGGGTCAAAGATCAAAGGTCAATGGTTAAAAGAAGGGGAACATTCCCTCCTTAACTTGCGGCAGCGCTATCGGCACCGAGACCGCCCAGCAACACTCACGAATTTCTGATCTATTACGATTATAATGTTTCCTGAAACAGTCTCTCTCTTGACTTCTCTTACTGGTCTCGTGATGCGTATTCTCGGTCGCCTATTACTCACATCGTCCTAATACGGACAACATCCCGTCATCACTCCTCCGTCCCTCTCCTCGCGTCCATCTCGAAAGTGAGGTCACAAGCGTTCAAGAGGTGCACTGGGGCACTACGGCGCTCAGATCTCCTCATGGCTACTCACTCTCTCTCTTCTATAGAAGGACATGGCTGATGTCTCACGCGAATTGAATCAACTTTTTCTTTTTGGAGCTTATTACTGATAGCGTGACCTTATACTATATGTTCTCATCCATTCTCTTAGTGTCGGCTTTTACTGAGAAATAAAGGACCATGAATAGTTACTATTCGCGCTGTAACTATGAGGCGAATTAAGTGTAATATGTGTCTGACTTATACTCTCTTCGACTCTCCTACTGAGGATGGCTTATTATACTCATGGATTTTTTGCACGCTGTTAACCAACACAGTACCTGACGAACGTGGCTTTATTCGCTATCATAACACGCCTCTACGGCCGCACTCCCTCCACCGCTAACCCTCTGCGCATCTGCCGGCCCTCCCTCCCCACCACCACCACTACGGGCCTCTGCGGCTCTCACTCCACGCATATCGCCTCTGATTAATCCATGTTAATATAGCCGAAGTCATTTAAAGTTACAGCCCAGCTGTATCTTTACCTAACTCGTTCTGACCTAGTACGTAATAGCCTATTGATATCGATTTTGATCTGTAATTAGTAGTCATTCCTCTCTTTCAAGATTATCTGCCCTGAGATGTCTGGGCCTCTCAAGTAGAACGCCGTATGCTGGGCAGGTAGGGCGCTCACTTCTGATTCGGGCAGTCTCCGATTGTCTTCTCTTCTCTCTCTCTCTCTGTATTCTCTCTTCTCTCTCTTCTTTCTCCGGCCTCCACACGTATCGCTCTCGGCGCTCATTCTCGTCTTTCCCTCGCCCTCGCCTCTCACTCTCAACTTCTCCTGCTGTGCTATATATGTCTATAGCATTACATGCTGTTTGGCAAGGCCATTGTAAGATCACACCTGCCTGTATATCATACTACGAACACTGGAACTGTAACTCACTTTAACCACAGAGTAGAGTGATTTACTGACGTCTTCGTTACGTACGAGGGCAAACCTACTTGTGTTGCCGCTCGATTCTACTTCTCAATTACCAAGCCAATGTATGCATATGAAGTGCAGATCTACAAACGCTCACACTCACGGCGCGCGGCTCTGCGCGCAAGTATAGCGACACAAACACACCACGCACACGTCTGGTGTCAACACGCAGTGAGTTATATCAAAAAACGAAATCACACACGCGAGGCTACAGGTACAGGTCAGTGAGCGGCACCTGTATCGCTCCTGCGGCAAGCTATATTTCTTACTCAATTTCTACCAACCCTGACTATACCAACTACATTCAGCCACCGACCGCGGAACGGCACACAGACATTCAACATTTTAACCCGTAGGTAGCGCTGCGGCGCGACACCGATTACGAATTTTTGGCATGTTATTCCGAGCCGCCGCCAGCGTGGCGACGATACAAATAGCGCCCCCCTAAGGTGGAGGCACACACAACCACTCGCTGCATACTGTGTCTCACGGCAGATTAACATGCGTACCGCGCATTACATCGAATCGGCAGCTCCACATTGCGAACGTCACGGATTATGGATAGATAGGTGATCACATAGATATAAGAGAGAGAACGAGAAGCGAGTAGATAGATGCAAGAGAGAGGAGATGTGACAGTAGAAGAGAGAGAATGCAGACATCAGGACAAGATAAAGAAGAGAGAGAGAGAGAGAGACACGAGCAGAGACGGCACGCAAGACAGCACGCACACGAGAGAGAACAGAGAGAGCGATAGTGAGAGGCGAAGAGCGAGAAGAGGCGAAGAGAGCGAGAGAGAGAAGAGAGAGAGAGAGAGAGAGAGCAGAGAAAGAAGAGAGAGAGCAGAGAGTAAGAGAGAAGAGAGATGAAGAGAGAGATGCGTAAACGGCAAACGCAACGCGCGAAAAACGCACCGCAAAACGCACACGAAGAGAGACGAGATGTCGGGAAGAATGGGAGGAGGAGAAGTGGTGGGGCTAAGGAAAGCTTGTGTTGCACCTGCACACAACCGCAGGATTTTTAAACACTTTACGCCGGATCACAAGCAACGGCTTGGTAAGGCTCAATGCAACGTATGCGCGCGTGCTGTGTGCTGTGTGGGGCGTTGGGCGGGGGGAGGGGTGCGTGTGCGTAGCGTGCGTAAGTTTTTTGTGTGCGTGCGCAGGATACGCGCGAACGTCTACGTGCGTTTGTGTAGTTTGCCTTTTAAGTTCATACAGACGCACGCACGCACGCACGCACGTATATATATATATATATATATATAATATTATATAATTATAATGTATGTGTGTGTGTGCGTGTGCGTGTGCGTTGTGTCGTGTGCGTGTGCGCCAGTGCGCCGTGCGCGTGCTCGTAGTGCGTGTGCGCGGCGCAAGCGGCGCGCGTGTGTGTGTGTGTGTGTGTGTGTGTGAGTCTGTGAATTACGAAGATGGATTTTAAAAACCTCTGTAAGACTTGTCAAGGAATCTAATTAACAATTTAAATTTTTTTTAAATTCTCTAAATGCTTAAATGACTATCTATTACAGCAAGCAGATCGTGGATGACGTCACGCAATAATTGAATATGTCAAAGCTAATGAAGTAATTAACCGCTGACATTAAGTAAAAATTACAATCATGTGTCTTATTGAATGCACTGATGGAAACACAGAACGTCAAGAAAGTGAAGAAGGGAAGACGAGAAGAGAGAGAGAGAAGATTTAGAGAGAGAGAGAGAGAGAAGAGAGAGAGGAGAGAGAGAGAGAGAGAAGAGAGAGGAGAGAGAGAGAGAAAGTGGCAGAGAGAAGAGAGAGAGAGAGAGAGAGAGAAGACAGTGAGAGATGAGAGGAGAAGAGAGAGAGACAGTCTTTTAAGAGAGAGAAAGAGATGAGAGAGAGAGCGAGAAGAGCAGAGAGAGCGAGAGAGAGAGAGAGAGAGAGAGAGAGATAGAGAGAGAGAAGAGAGAGAGAGAGAGAGTGAGAGGAGAGAGAGAAGAGAGAGAGAGAGAGAGAGAAGAGTTAGAGAGAGAGAGAGATAGACAGTCTTTAAGAAGAGAGAGAAGAGAGAAGAAGAGAGAGAGATAGACAGGTCTTTAAGAGAGGAGAGAGGAGAGGCGAGCGACCGAGAGAGAAGAGAGAGAGAGAGAGAGAGAGAGATGAGAGAGAGATGAGAGAGATAGTCTTTAAGAGAGTGAAAGAGAGCGAGGATTAAGGAGAGAGGAGGATTTAGAGATAGAAAGAGAGAGAGAGAAGCGAAAGAGAGAGAGAGAGAGAGAGAGAGCGAAAGGGAGAGAGAGAGAGAGAGAGAGAGAGAGAGAGAGAGAGAGAGAGAGCGCGCAGACAGACAC